AACGCAAACCGAGTGTTAAAAGACCGAGAAACAAACGTGTCCCACTTGACATTCCTTCTCAAGGACCCACCTCCAGTGAGGCACAGACATCACACCTGGACTGCCTCCTGACAACCCCCTCGAGCCCAGGGGCTGGTTAGAAAAGGGGTTGGAACCTCTCCCCTCCTGGGAACAGCTGATGAGGTGGGTGGATGTAGACAGCAGAGCCGTTGACAGCCACCTGTGCCAAAAAAGGTGTGTGGGGAGATCACGAGCAGAGGGCGGAACCTGTAGGTTAACACCCGGATGTTGCATCACCGTGTTGTTGGCAGGAGAAAATACAGGGCAGAAGCAAAACCCAGATCAGTTTACATGTCTTGTGTGCAAACATTTCTGCCTTATCATAGCGCACTTCAAAAGAACCCTAACTGGCATTCAGCAGGGAGTTGTTCCTCAAGTTGACACCTACCTCTTACAATCAGATTTTCCAAAGGGAGTACATTTAATAACCGTGGCAAGGTTGGTATCCCTGCATCTGACCTTGGCTCACTGTCGCCTGTTCCCAACCCAGAAAACAGGGCTCCTGTGAAAATCGAAATCACACCCTGTCCCCCCCTCTACACAGAGCCTACTGGGGGCTCCTGTCTCAGAGTCAAAGGCAAGGTCCCACAATGATGTTCCAGGCCCCAGGTGTTTAGCAGCTCTATGCCCACCCTGTTCCCCCATCATCCACCTTTTCCCCCGCATGTTAACTCCACTCCAGCCACACTGGTCTTCTTGATCTTCCTACACTGTGCAAAGCATCTCTGTCTGCGCTGTTGCTACCTGGAAACCACCAGCCGTCTATCAAGTGAGCATACAATGGTGGAGTGTGTGTTGTCATGATGCTGGATGCTATGCCACTGATATTTCAAATATTAGCAGGGTCACCCACGGAGGACACGCTTCAGCAGATTGTCCACACTAAAACAGACTACGAATAAAGGCCTGGCGACCTGTTTCCAAAGAAAATTATGGTCCAAAATAGGATTTTGTCCACTAGAATGCTGGGAGATGAGCTCAAAATGCACAAGACTGGACTTGAGCAGACCAGTTACCATGAAGACAGCACGGGGCTGGGCAGCATCCCATGCTGTCCACGAGGAACTACAAACAACTCCCTGGGGTGCTCGTCCCCAGAAAGCTGCACAGTCCACTCTCAGGGAGGCCTCTGCAGCCCCACGATTTACATAAAAAACCTCGGCCACCACCCTGCGCTGCTGAGCCCACTCTAGCCCCCTCAGTTTTAATTCCCCACTCTAACATGCCCTCATCATCTGGCATAAGCTTCCCTTCTCGACTCGTCTATCTGTCTCCCCCTGCCAACAGGAAAGCGCCCCACAAGGGCTGAACTATTTTCCGTCTGGTGCTGGCCACTGTTCTAAAGCCCAACACCAAATCCAGTGTTTGGTCAAAGGAACCAGTTCCAGTTGGCACTGAATGGATGCCAGCTCACAGTGACCCTGTGTATGCCAGAGCATAACTGTGCTCTGTGGGGCTTCCCGGGGTCAATGTGGGGAAGCAGATGCTCAGGCCCTTCTTCTGAGGTACCTCTGGGTGGACTCCTACCTCTAACCTGTGGTCAGCAGTCAAACATGTGCACTCTGTGTCCCAGCCAGGGCCTCCACTTGGCCTCCCACCGCTGGCCAGTGAGTTGATTCTGCCTCTCTGTTGTTGGGCTGTTAGATGCCACCGAGTCGGTTCTGACCCACAGCGACCCGATACACAACAGATCGAACCACCACCCAGTCCTGCGCCATCCTCACAACTGCTGCTACATTTGAGCCCATTGCTGCTGCCACTGTGCCAATCCGTCTTGTTGGGGGGCCTCCTCTGTAGCAGTGCTTAGTAAGTATGTGTTTAAAGAAAGGATGAATGCAGCCAATTCTCATCTCCTGGTCTTGTCCTTGTGCTGCCAAGTCGCTGGTTCCATATCCGATCCCTAACTGCCTCTTGGATGCCGCCCCTAAGTATCCCAAAGTCACACCACACCCGAACATCCCAACAGCACACAGGACTTTCCCAGGCGGCCCCCTCTCATCCTCACCATGAGCCTTATCCTGCCTCCTCCTGCTCCATCCCCCTCCAGTCTCTGTGTTCCCTCCAGAACTGGGGTACAGAACCCAGCGTGACTTCCCTGGGGTCACCTGATCATAAGGGCGTCTAGCTGAATCAGAACCCAGTAATAAAAACAGAAATCCCTCCCCTTACACAAACACCTACATGTTGACAGAGCACCTTAGCAGACCTGATGTCACCGAATTTTCACAACCACCCTGAGCTTGGATCTTATTATTCTCAATGAACAGATGAGAAAACAGGTTCAGAGAAACACAACCATTTGCCTGAGGTCAGGGAATGAATAAGAGGCAGAGCCAAGGACCAGAACCCAGGTCCCAGAACAAACTCTCAGTACGTTGTATCTCCCTCAATTGACACCACTGACTCTTGGGCTAGCTGCGTAACTTCCTGACCCTGTACAGGGTTTCTGAAGCTATAATTCTTTCTTCCATGGAGCAGCTGGTGGATTTGAACCGCTAACCTTGGGGTTAGCAGCGTAACACATAACCACTACTCTACCAGAGCTCCTTGAGTAAACGTTAGCTCTCATTATTACTCTATTCGGGGCTGAGGTAATGTGGTGGGTCTGTATAGTTTTCCTGGGAAGAGAATCCTTAGCTTCTAACAAATTCTCCAAAAACTTTATCAAATGCGCCCCCAAAACCAAAGTTGTTTTTTTAGAATCACTGGGCAAGAGAAAGACCAAAAAATACGTTCGGTGTCATATGAAGTCATGCAAGTGCCTTAGCTTCCCAATGTTCCTCCTCAAATAACCCTACATTCAGAACTAAGCATTGTGGCCCAAATCCAGAAAGGGAACCCCGAGTGTGTGAACCCCGAGTGTGTGAACCCCGAGTGTGTGAACACAGAATGTGTGAACACCCAGTGTGTGAACACCGAGTGTGTGAACCGCGAGTGTGTGAACCGCGAGTGTGTGAACCCCGAGTGTGTGAAACCAGAGTGTGTGAACCCCGAGGGTGTGAACCCCGAGGGTGTGAATCCAGAGTGTGTGAACCCCGAGGGTGTGAACCCCGAGTGTGTGAACGCCGAGTGTGTGAACCCCGAGTGTGTGAACGCAGAGTGTGTGAACACAGAGTGTGTGAACGCAGTGTGTGAACCCCGAGTGTGTGAACCCAGAGTGTGTGAACGCAGAGTGTGTGAACGCAGAGTGTGTGAACACAGAGTGTGTGAACCCTGAGTGTGTGAACCCAGAGTGTGTGAACACCGAGTGTGTGAACCCAGAGTGTGTGAACGCAGAGTGTGTGAACGCAGAGTGTGTGAACCCCGAGTGTGTGAACCCCGAGTGTGTGAACCCTGAGTGTGTGAACCCAGAGTGTGTGAACACCGAGTGTGTGAACGCAGAGTGTGTGAACGCAGAGTGTGTGAACACAGAGTGGTACAGCCTCAGGAGACGCAGATCAAGCCAGGGAAACAGCAACTGCTTAATCCACAGTTCTTCTCCCATCCTTTTCTTAGTCCTGACA